CTTAAAAAGTTGAGCATAGAAATTCCATATGACCCAGCTATTTCATTAGAACTGAGACACAAACAAGAGATTTGTACACCAGTGTACACAGCAACGTTATTCACCATCACAAGAACATGGAAATGGCCCAGATAGACAACCACAACTGAATGGAGTGAGAAACTGTGGTACATTCATGCAATGGAATACTATGCAGCACTCAGGAACAATTATTTTGAAAAATACTGCGTAACGAAGAGGCTGGAGAGCATTATGCTGAGTGAACTAAGTCTCATAAGGACAAATACTGTGTAAGACCATTATTGTAAAAATAGAAGGATAACTAGTAAAACATGTGGAGACGCAAGAGGGGAAAAGGGTCGGTGTAGAGGGGTAAGGATGGCTACCATCCTGTGATCATTGTGCTGAGATCTGACCATTGTGCTGTGGTCACTGTACTATGGTCTGATCACTGTCCTGTGGTCACTATGCTGTGGTCTGGTCACTGCTGTGGTCAACGTGCTGTGGTCTGGTCACTGGGTTGTGGTCACCGTGTTGTAATCTGAATACTATGTTATAGCCACTGTGCTGTGGTCACTGCTATGGTCTGGTCATCATCCTGTGGTCTCTGTGCTGTGGTCACCGTGCTGTGGTCTGATCACGGGGCCATGGTCACCATGTAGTGGTCACTGTGCTGTGGCCACCAGGCTGTGGTCTGATCAGCAGACTGTGGTCACCATGCAGTGGTAACTGTGCAGTGGTTGCTGTGCTGCAGTCTGGTCACTTTTATGGTCCCCATACTATGCAGCTGTCACCACTATCCATTTCCCAATTTTGCGTCACCCTAGAGAAACACAGTCCCCTCCAGTGGTGCCGCTGACACTGCTGACCCCACCCCATGGTTCCCCTCTACCCTGACACTGGGCACAGGCTCCTGAGATGAGGGCCTTTCCTTTGGGGACCGTCATCTTTGTGACTCCCATGAAGCCGTGCTCTCCACCTTGTCTATTGTTGGGGCTTCTGTAGTTTGGGGATAACTGCTTATCTTTCACAACTCCTAGGTTCCCTCAGTTTTCTTTCTTCTTTTGACTGTGAGTGAAAGCTTACAGAGCATACTGATTTTTCATTCAATGCTTTTATACAGGTTTTGTTTTATACCTTTAACGACAATCCTCACAGTGTAGCAGCACTTTCCCTGCTTCCTCCTTGTGAGTCTCATCTCCACCATCCTCCCTGCCTCCTTCTGAGTGTCCTCCCATAGAAAATACTGCCCTTTTGATCCTGTGTGATGATTGACCTAAGGAATGAGCACCTCCATGGTGTTATAGGCCTGTCTTGGTTTTGGCCAAAGGAGTCCTGATTGTTGTCAGAACCCACCACACAACTGACCTCCAGCAGGTTTTCAGAGGCGATAAATCACACGGGAGGAGATTGCTCATTCTCTCACAGAGCCGCTGGTGGATTCAAACTGCGTGCGTTCAAGATTGCAGCGCAGCTTCTTACCACTGGGCACCGGAGCTCCCCTAGCTAGCACAGTACATAGCATGGTGACGTAGACTACCGGTTTGAAAGTCAGCAGTTCAATCCTAGAGGTACACAGTTCGAATCCACCAGATGCTCGGCTGGAGAAGGAGGGGCAATCTCCTCCTGTACCAGTCAAATCTGATTTGACGGTACACAAATACAAAAAAATAAAAAATTTTTTTTATAAGTCAGCAGTTCAAACTTATCACTTGCTCCAAAGAAGAAAGATGAGTGTCCTCTTTCTGTAAAATTTACAGTCTCAGAGACCAGCAGTAGGAGGGTGTCCCTAAGCTGGACTTGAGTGGACAGCAGTGGGTTATTGAGTTATTAAAAGCTAAGCTGCTCAGGTCTGTTTATCCCAGCATCAGTAGTGACTGAGGGAGGACTGATATCCTGGCTTCTCCAGTCTCGGTCAGACCAGCAAGGCTGGCTGTTTTTCTGATTTTTCAATTTTTCTTCCCATGTGGATTTGTAACTTACTGTTTTATCCACCTTAATCCGCAGTGATTTCTGTTTAGAGAGCTTCCTGTGATTTTTCTTCTTGTTTAATAAACAGCTGAGGCAGTTTTTGTGGTCTTGTGGTAAAATGATGCACTGCCAGCCCAGAGACATGTGGTCCGAATCCATCAGCTGCTCCAGGGTGCAGTTTACACCCTCTGAAAATCTGGTAGAGGGTCAGTTATGAGTGAGTCCAACTCAAGAGCAGTGAAGTTTTTGAAAGGCAGTATTACAAGTTACTGGAGTGTGTTTGGCGTAAAGTTCTACCTATGTTTTTAGTTGTTGTTATATACAGCCAAGAAATCTGGAGAACGACCACTTGGCCAACTGACTGGAAGAGATCGATATTTGTTCCTATCCCAAAGAAAGGCGACCCAACCGAATGT